CTCTAATATTGCAAACAGTGCAACAGTGGCTCACGCTTTTGGCAAGTGACCATCACCACCATCTGGCCTAGAGATTATATATGAGACAATAAACAAGAAACAATGTACCTCTATACAAAAAATTAAGGCTAATGTTTTTTTTTAATGCATACATTTGTAGGGTTTACTTAGAGCCAATAAGTACAGAGGAACTGTATCTTTAAATCAGTTGAATCCAGTTTTAACTTGGTAAGATAATAAACCAAACTGATTTAAAGTAGGCCAAATCCACAGTGCTGTCAGACGTGAAATTAACCACATAGTTATAAATATCTGCTTCTTTTCCTCCCAGCTATGACTGAACATGAAACGGAGATGAGACGCCGGAGTGATTGGATTGACGTGGAGGCCAAAGCTTATGACCCGGTGGAGCAGGAGGATGTGAACCTGATCCCGAAACAGATCTGCCTGAAAACTGCTGAACACGGACTAACTAGCCTTGAATGTATAAGGTGAAGGTAAAATGACTTTCCACTCTCTTTAATCCTCAGGGTAACTGGCACGTTGTCGTCTGCGATCGCTCTTAGCTGTAAGTAGCTGTTAAACAAAAACCCCAGAGGGCAGCAGTGAGTGTAGCTGCCACAGTGGAGGCAGTGGAGGTGTTAATTGTGGTTTTATTTTCCTGGCAGGACGGCAGGAGCAGTGTTTGGGGAAGGATTCTGAGCTTTCATCGCTGACTGGAACAAACTCACAGCCACAGTAAACCCATGTCAGACCTGTCAGGGTTTGTCACACTTTGACCATAGTAGAACTGCAGGGGATTGTGGGAGTTAGTGGTGTTCATAATTAATATACGCTATGTTTCAAAATGTAGGTTTTGTTTTTTTCCCCACAGGTCACTGGGTTGGCCCTGTTGACAGTAGGAGTGTACTTGGCCAGGAAGGCCACAGCGGAGACAGGGCGCTACTTCAAGACTCGTCGCTGTAAGCCCACACCAGTCTGAGAGGCCTCCAGGTGGTTAACAGTTGAAATGGCCATGAAACAGCCAATCAAGGTCAACCTAAGGGGCAAATCCAAGAATGGAGCCAGGGTTTTGGCCCTGTCCTGTCGGTGGTCTTTCTAAAATTGTTATAAACTATTCATTTCATACAGTACTCAGTAAAATAGCAAAAACATAAGTGTGAAAAATAAACAGAACAAAACAACAAACGGGGTATCTTATAGATTGTGCCTCTTGTGTTCCTCCTGTGGTTTTTTTTTTTACTCCAAAATCTTTATAAAAGAAAAAACTATTATATTCTTTGTTTCTGTTCTTTTCCCATTACCTTTCAGAAAATCTCTCTGTTCATTCACGGATGGACTATGTCATCATGACAGGTGGAGATGTGGCACCCATGGGGCATGATGCTGTTAATGCCATATCACAATATGTTTGAGTGGTCTGGCACCAGCAGGCGAGCGTCCAGGGCACTTTAAATTGCCGCTTTAATCACTGAATCACCATTCTAATGTGTATTAACTATTAAATGTTGACTCTGACCGTTCAGTAATGTACATGTTACATACAGCAAATCATTTAACTTAACCCTCAGATAAAATAGCCGTTTTTAAAGTAATTGACTTTGCTCTTTTTACCACTGCAGCCTCTTGCAGTTTGCAGATGGAGTCACTGTGTTCTTGTAAGCGAGCCACAGTGAGTTCAGCTGCATTGCCATACACACGGTGATGATGCCCTGTGGTTTCATCACATATCCATGAGTCATGAGTTTTGAAATGCAGGAGATCGCTGCAAGGACCTCAGAGCTATACCTTCCATGCAGTCCTCTGCTGCTCTGGGGAGCAGAGCCACAAGTTGATGTCTTTCATTATTCACGGTGCATGGCTGCGCTTGAAAAGGTCATCGCCATGACTGAAAAGGTCACTGGCCAGGTCCTAGTAGTCTCATGCTGATTTTGGCCAGTAACCAGCCAGAAAAATTCACCTGTACCATCAAGAATTGCTTTCATGACATTTTAAACTATGCATTACCAGGTCTGGAGAAGAGGGGAAACACTGCACAAATGTACAATTTTGATTGGGAGACAGTGAGTATACGGATATACGGATATATATACGGATGAGTATACAGATATTATTTCAATAAAGTCTACTGTTTCTGCTCTATAGCAGAGGTGATTTACCACTGCATAGGAGAACATTTGTCCCAAGAGGTTGCCTTGCAAGCTCAACTTGCATAACTGTGTGTTTAATGTCTTCAGTTCTGAAACCAAATTGACATCTGTATAACCTATTGCTTTCATGAAATTGTCTTTAAGTCCTAATAAAGTAGTGCACACCCAAGCAGAGGGCACTGACAAGTTCAAACCAGATAATCAATGATAGGAAGCGATTTAAGTGAAAGGCTCACTTACTGTACAGACAGGACTGGAGACTGGACAGAGCTGTGCAGCCATTGCAAAACAAGCTGAGTGAATAGTTGGTCATGAAATATCAAATATGGTGTGGCCTAACAGGTGAAGTAGAACAGCCTTTTGACTCAAAATATGACACTACTCTACTCCCCCAAATGTGGAGTTTTGATTGAAGAGATGATTGACTCAAGAGCTGATGATGCCATCAAGCAGCACTCACAGAAAATAGATTGGCTGCTGATGGAAGCAGGTGTAAGGAGGTTGACAAGGTCAGTGTACTCCTCCCTAAGGAAATGGCTGCAGGAGTCATAGCCCAGGAAACTATAAGTCCTTCCACAGCTCAAAAGCAGCTCCATACAACTTTAGATATAGAGGCAGGTGTTATCCACAGAGAGGCTGCTGCTTTGAAGAGAAGTTTTAGGAACTTCAACTTGAAACAGAACCATTGGTGCTTTGGAAATTGAGGCCATCAAGGACACAAGTGAGAAGGCTTGAGGCACAGCAGTAGCTACAGGCACTGTTGTACTTGAGGTGATATAGTCACAGAGGTTCCTCTTCAGTCGGTACACTCAGGTATTGTGACCTTGCAAGACCAACCTTAAGAACACTTTTTAACATTGGGATTGGCTGTGGTTGAGGTGGAAGAGCAGTTGTTCTTCAAGCAGAAGGTCAGGGGCTTGAATCCAATCTCATGCCAAAGCCTGTGGGCTAGATGCTGAACTCCCCCCCAAAAAAATGGCCCCTCGTAGATGTTAAATGCACTAATTGCAAGTTACTTTTGCGTCAGCTAAATGACATGTAATGTACCATGTCTGTCAGGGTCAATGAACTTGCTCCTTGCCCAGGGCATTGCTACAAGGCTAGTTCCTGCGTTGCGTTTGTTGCATGACACTGCACCCGATTAACCCAGTTAATTGAAAATTTGACCCAGCAAACCTCTTTAGCTTGCTAAATGGCCACACCTTATCTGCCACTGGTCAGCAGGATACCGTCTAGCCTGCTGAGGGCATACCACATTCCACCACACAAGAAAAACAAGAAACCAAGAGACAGAGGCCATAGAGGTAGAAGGAATGTATGTAGCCAACTTAGATAAGGAATAAGATACGTGGTTGTGGAGTCAGAGTCCAGTCAGACTTTTCCAGGAAACTGTTGTCCAGGAAGATGAGTCAGCAACAGCCTCTGTTGATTTTGTAGGAGCTGAAGACTGTAGAAGAAGTAACAAGTAATGCTGCAGAGGTGGTAGAGAGTGCAAACAATGTGGCTGAGATGAGTCATCGGTAAAGGTTGTAAAAGAAGATAACCAAAAGCAGCTGATGTGACTACAGTAGAAACCATCACAGAGGAGATGGAGGATGCAGTAGTCATGTTTGAAGCAATGGAAAGTGAAAACATAAATGAGGCTGTGGTGGAAAGTGAGTCTGAAACATCAGAGGTGAAAAAAAAGGTCAAGAAGTCAAATAGTTTGAGATTATTAAGGAGTAAGACTTATGAGTACAGACAACATATTTAGTCTTTGCAAACACAAATGATATACCTGATTATTTCAATATAGAGCAGGGAAGTGAGATCTGATCACAAGTGGTCACAGGAGACACATTAAGGACATATTTTTAATGTCAGGTGTGAACAGACAAACTTAACTCTGTTCACTTGTGATTGGATCTCTCAGGACGGATGTTGATTCCAGGTCGGAACAGGGCCTCAGACTCCCAGGACTGAAGAAGCTGAACCGAGTCAAACTCAAAATCCTCTTTCATCACTGTGGTGATGCCAAGTACAAACCTCAAGCCAAGTCTCGTCCCAAGAAATGTTCACTCAGGATTTTTGATGAAATGTAATTGTCAAAGTGTTTCCTTTTTTTAAAAAACTTTTTAATAGCTCTTTTACAGCTTGAGTTTCAAGACATTTTGTTTTGTCTACTACTGGCCACACAGATGTTTAACAACCTGTGACCTTTCTTGAATTACTGAGATTACTTATGGAATAGTGACAAAATAATCAGCAGACACGGTGAGAAAATTGATAAAAAGCAATTTTTCATGCTCAAATTGGCAAACACTACTGGTTTCATCTTGTCAAAGATCACGATTTTAAACTTTTTTTAAAAATTGATCTTAAATTATATATTTGGCTTTCACACTGCTGGTTGGACAAGAGAACCAATTTAAAGATTTCACCTCATTTAATAGATTAACAATGCTCTTTACTAATCGCTCTTTATAATCAGTAATAAAAAATAGTCAATAGTTTTACCTGTAGCTTACATATTAAAAGAATAACACTCTCCAACCATGGTTGAACATTTCTTTGAAATGCCCTCTCTGCCTATGGAACGTGTCACCACTGGATGACAACAGTAGAGGGCTTTGCTCAGCAGCATTAGAATGTAGAATGTATAGGCACTGTTAGTCATTTCAGAAGTGTCGTTATGAAATTTCTATTTGAACGTATAACAAACAGAACAGGAGTTGTCGACAGGACCTCGCTGTATAATCCGTCTGTGCTCTCAAATAACCCTTCGCTATGAGAATGTGTTCTCGTCTTCGCTCATGTGACTGGAATGACACAATCAAACATCAGAGGTCACTGTTGTGCTTCAATGGCACTTTTAATAAAACAGACATTTCATCCTCACAACAGCAATGTCTGGACAGAGAGGGCGAGGGGGGGCCGGGTGAGGGTTCCCTCTGCTGATAGGCTGGTTGCTCCTGATAAGTGAGAGGGAATTGGATAAAGAAAATTGAACTGTGCTGCTGAGCTCAGTGTGGGGGAAGATGGAGAGGGCTGTGTGTAAGTGTGTGTGTGTGTGTGTGTGTGTATGTGTGTGTGTGTGTGCGTGTGTTGAACTGACTCATCTTGGCTGGCATTTATTTCTCCCTCGTGTCTTCCATAGCATGGTAATACAGCAAAGAGAACCCTGACCACAACTGTACACACTCCCCTCCCCCTCACATATTTACAGAAAAAATTAATACATTCAGTTAATTCACTAAGTAACAAAGCTAATTAATCTGTGTTTTTAGCAGAAATCACATGGTTTCACATCCAAGTTCCCAAACAGACTCTGTCTTTCTGTCCCATTCCTACAATCTTTACCCACACAAAGGTCTTCTACTGATGACCGACTCACACAAACGCCCACCCCCCACCCCCTTCTTAAGACTGTCAAATCCCATTTTCCATTATTTATAACTATTTACAGAAGCAGCAATCTAACTATCACAAAAACCCACCCACCCATCAGTCGCATTCTCCCCTCCCCACGCCAACAAAGTCCCCCTCCCGCCCATCAGAAAAAAAATATCATGACACCAGTCTCGCCACCCCGTTCCATACACTGCCCACATCTTACCCTGTTCTAAAAGAGCATGCCAAGTTTAACAATGAACACAGAAAATGTCTCTATACAGAAAAAACACCCTTAAAAATGTTTTCTTTCTTTCTTCCTCCTCCCACAACGGTGGACGTGGACATGGACATAAGACAAGATTTCAGTGGCAACAAATAAATCGTCATCTTGCTCCATTTTGGTTTTTTTTTTTAGTGCTGACAGGGGCCAGGTTTAGTCATAAGAAAGTCCTGTCATGGGGGTTTAAGGGGGCCATGTTATGAACAGTGGGAGGGCAGTTTTCCAGGTGTCTCTGAGGCAATAGCTGGCCAATAGGCTGTTTGAGGAAGGGGGGTGAGGTGTGTCGGAGGGAAAAGGGAGAAGGTGTGTTGGGGAGAAGGATCTAGTTTAATTTCTTTTTGTTGTTGGTTTTGTTGTTCAGTTTTTCAGATTCAGAGGTGGCGGGGACTGGGGTGGCCGTTGTGGTAGAGCTTCTGCTTGATGTGGACCATGTTGCCACTGGAGTCCTCCAGTTGCCGGAGCTGGGCCCGGCGACGGAGGTCTCGGAGGTTGCAGAACTGAGGCAGCCATGACCAGGACGGGGTATCTGGAGGAAGGAGATGAGAGGCAAAATAGCTGTCAAGAATGAAAAGAATTTACAAGACGTTGCAAGAATTTGCTGTCTGTTTAAAATAAATACAATAAGATTCTTCAAAATAGGTTAAAGAATCACAAGGTAACTCCAGGCAAAAATGGAAGAATCTGCACAAACCTGCCATAAATTCAACTGAAAAATAAATAATATTTAAGATATCACAATTATATTTTGTTACACTTTTCACTTTCACTTTCCAGTAATACACATTTAAATGAAGAACTTGATTTCACAATCAGATTTTGTAATGCTTTCACTCCAAGCCCTGAGCTTGCACTCAAACATACCCTGCTTGTACTTAGATTTGCTGCGCTCCAACTTTAGCTGTTCTCCTCGCACCCTGGCAGCTTCTATGCCTGCATGAAACGTCTCCTCTGCTCTTTGATTTTTCTCTGCTATTCTTCTTAAGAAGCTGGAGCACATGTATCCCATATGTTTTGACAGTATTTCAGACTAAACTAGCTGAAAGCAGAATTTCAGACTTCAAATGTCTGTTGCAAAAGAATTGTGGGTTGATATTCCGTCAAAATCACAACACATCACAATATTGATTATTTCCTTTTCTGTTTCTCTACTTCTACTCACAATGTGCCACCACAGTATGTATGGTTTACTGTTTAACAATCTTGTCTCACTTGTGCAGATGTGTAAAGTCAACTGAACGCTGGCTTTCACAGACACAAGAGTCGAGCAGCTATAAAACACACTCATGAGATCAGGAAACACAATAGAGTTAAATCCTTCTTAGTCTGGTTTTATACATCGAAATCCAGTTAAAGTGACAAAGAGACAGCAACAAATAATCTCAGCGCTCTGAACTGTACTTTTCCAAGCCCCAAAACCCCTATTTGGCTCAGTTTATTTTGGAATAAGAATGAATAATTTAGGGCTACGCAGATATTGGGTTGTCATATGATATGATGCTTTTTATATGATATGCTCTTTTTCAGTGGAGAGATGGACAGTTCCATGGTGGCCTAAATAACAAGTTTCTACTTTAAAGGACCAGTGTGTAAGATCAAGGTGAAAAGGAACTATATTTTCATTAGTTCGTGTCATTTCAATTTTTATGAATTGTAGTTTTCTTTACCCCAGAAAAGGCCATTTATTTTTAAATACTGACAACTGAACTGAAGCTACCACAGGTTCTTTTCCATGTTTGGAAGGGGAGGGTGAGGTGAGGGGTGTTCAGCTGCAACATGCAATTTCCACATTAGATATCACAAAATTCTACACAATATACCTTTAACAGGGGTTCTGAACAAAAATAATGAATGTGTAAGTCATGTCCATGCAACACTCAATATTTCTTTAATTTAATCTTTTCAATGTGAAAAAAGCAAAAGAATCATTATCTCACATAATCTTAAAGTAATATTGTGATGTTTTTTACATTTTTGAAATGTTATGATTATTATTATTATTTTTCCAGTTCTGTGATATGAGCTCCTTAATAACTGAAGAAGAAAAAAGGATTTACTTTTCCAACATTTTGAAAGAGACAAATCCATGGTGTAAGTACGACTTTACATAATGTCAACATTAAATATTTTCACAGATCGGTCAGTTAAACCAAAAAATGACCCTGAATCAGATGCTTTAATCGTTTTACACACCATGGTTTACTGCATAAAAGTAGTGAGCTCCATACAGACCCCAGATTGAATAAAGCTGATATTTAATATGTCTTTAAGCCACCAGCTCTATCATAGCTGAGACTACTTTTAATCCTGGGAAGTAGGGGTGAACTTTTTTCAGTGAGGACAGAGTGACAGAGACGACATAAAAGCTCAGGACGTTGAAATATTGGATGACAATGGTAAACGGCACCAATCTCTTCAAGTGCACTGCGGCGTTGCCCTTGATTCTTTTTTACATTCATGTTTAGCTGCTGCACATGTGACTATACATTATTTCTGTACAGTCAAAAGCAGGTGAGATTAAGGCTGAACATTCATTTTTTAGAGTTTTTAATGAAGTATACATAAAGACTACACAATACAAAGGCCGGCCTGCTCTGAAATCAGTAGCTGTCTGGAAACAAAGTGGTATTTCATGAATTTGTGGCATATAGTGTGAAGAGGGGGAACGGCAGAGCAGACATTCGTGCTTGTTGGGTTATAAACTGGAGCTGGTGAGGCGGAGCGAGGTCCACAGAGACAGCAGAGAGAGAGAGAGATAGAAGGAGCGAAGGAGGGGAGAACCCCAGACAGCAAAACCCAGTGGCAAATGGCCCCTGCGTGGAGGTGTGGTGGTGGCGGTGGTGGTAGTGGAAGAGGAGGTGAGATGTTGGGTGGAGGGGAGGAGAGAGAGAGTTATTTATAGCTGTGAGTGAGTATGCTGTCCACAAGGACTGCTCTGAAGGGTATCCAAAGGAAAGGGGGCAACGAAGACAGGTTTCTCTCATTTGAATAAAAGGATGGAGATGGAGTCGGGAGAAATGATAATGAGCGGCAGAAAATGGGAGGCGACGTGGCAAATGTTTAGAGGAGAGGCAAAGGAGAAGCGGGGTTTAATGCTGAACGCCAAGTCATCATTTTCTCCATTTTTTGGCATACTTTATTCCTTTTCTGTTTCCCCTGTGTCTTTGCTAAAAGGAGATGTGGGAGTCACAACAGGAAGCACTGTTAAGGAAATGACCAGGGTAGATTTAATAAGGGAGAGAGGGGGCGCTAGAGATGAAATTAGGAGGGGGAAAAAAACCATAAACGTACATCTCAATGTGTGTGTGTATGTCTGTGTGTGTGTGTGTTTCTCACTTGCCATTCCAGCTGCTCTCTCTCAATCTATTTATAGCTCTGGTGAAGAGAATGTGTGTAAGTGGGGGGTGGGGATATGACAGCATCTCCACCCTGCACCCCCAACACACACACACACACCCTACCTCTTGCTCTGTCAGCCTCACCTTCACTCCTCATCTCGGGTAGGCTAAACGAGTCTGACCTAGCATTGTCAGATCCGACACACACACACACACACACACACACACACACAAACACACAGACAGGGGATATTCCCTCACAGCACAAAAGAATAAGCCTATATCCCTGCTCTATAGCAGCTGCTAATGAATATGGATGTTACCTCCTCCCTGAGGTTTTTTTTATGATGATGCATTTTACACTGTTATACTAAAGCACTGGAGAAAACAGCATTGTCTCACCCGCTGCTGCAAAAACCTTCCACACCTCTGTGCAAAGCAGATGCCTGCAGCTATCAAAGCCACAGTTGCGGCACCTTGTTTATTGCAGCAGCATCTAAAAAAACACCCTGAAAAATGCCAAAACACTAATATATTTCCTATACCGAAAAACCCATGTTTGTGAACCTTCAGATAGTGTAGAAATAATAACCATCATTCTGATTGCTGCTTGAGATTTTCCCCTCCTTGCCTGAGGAGCTTTTCCATGGCGCTCCAACTATCCAGGTCACATATCACCTACTTTTGCATCGTCTTTAAAAACTGAGGATCCAGGCCAGCACCGCAATACAGGCCTGACACTGAGCACACAATATTCAGCCTCCAAATCCACTTATTAAATCATTTATTTCTATTCAGTATCTCTGAATTTAGCTCATTTCTGTCAGCAGAAACCAACAAACTTCTAGAGTTTAATCCTGGCAGGGTCAAGAGGCCTGTGACACATCCAAGACTGTGTGAAACTAAAACACTTCACTTGTCTGTAGTTGATGTCTCTTCAGCACATGCATCTATTATCTGATTAGCTCTAACTTGTGCAGTGGTCTTTCTAAACCTGCCTGTTTTATCCACAGTCTGTGGTGCAGAGTAAAGTAAGAAAACGTTGTGTTCATCCTACCTGGTTTGTCTGCAGTGAACATTTTGTAGTTAATGTTATTCATAAAATGAAACCGATTTTGCTTTAATACTGTTGTACGTGTTTGGTTTGTATACAATTTTGATTGATTTGCTTAACTTGCTATTTTTCCATATACTTTGCATTACAGAGGTTTGTTCAACACAATCTTATCTGCTCTTTACTGCAAAAAAAAGAATGTGCTTTTACTTAGCGATAGTGATGCTAAGAATGTTGTTGCTATGACAGAGATCAGCACCACTGACACCTGCATCTGTCAGTGTCAGTCTGAATGAATGGTTCGCAAGATATGCGTTCCTTATACAGACAGACAGGCGTTTGTGGAATTGGTAGGTAGATGTCACTTTTTAATCTAACATTTTGTGTCTTTGCTTTTCTATTGTCCTCAACAGCCACACAAGCCAACACACACGTGTGAACATTACACCCTTTGTTCTGCCTTATTAAGGCTGCTGTGACCCCTTTTCTATGTACAAAAGTAACATGCATCCTTCATCTGTCAGGAGGAGATGGTACGAGAAATGATAAAGACATTTCAGAGAGAGGAGAGAGAGGTTGCTGACAATAGACAGGAAATTAAGGAGCAACTATCACACTCGGAGTTGGAAACTGAGTTGGATTTAAACACATGGTATGTGGGAATGTAGCTTTCTCTACAGCACAGCAGATGGTGGCAGTGCAGTCATTTCTCTCTCTTTTTCTGTGTTTCAGGCCTGGTTTGAAACCAGTCTCAGGAACTGATACTATCACACAAAAGCGGTTTGTTTTGTACCAATGACAGCTTGGCCAGTGTTTGCCATCCTAATTTTCAGTTACAGGATTTGCACTTTGGTAATATACATTTAAATTTATGTACATCTACACACTTAGACACTTGATGTATCAGTGGCTCTGGTTTTCTACAAACACTGTGATTAATGTTGAAGTAACATGGCTCCCACCACTGTCAACCTAAGAGGGGGTCCATTCAGCAGAAGTGATGATGTGCAAGCTTTTTTCCCCCCCAAAAATATTTTGACATAGTATAAAAACTAAAGGCGTAAATAATACAATTAATTATGGCTGTCTCAGTTTCAGGATCCTGATGTTCCCTGTCACTGTCCGGACTTACTGCAACACTTATAGAACTCCTAGAACAGATTCATGGTGAGTGTTATCTGTAACACCTGAGCTCTTCATACCATGACAAGTCCAAAATGTCTCCTGTGAAAAGGTTATGTCTAACACACTATATAAGACCCTCTCTGACTTAAACAAGGGCTCAAAATCTAAGTTAGCTGTCCGTGTAAAATTGGATCAGCACATCGTCCTGGCTCCTCGTCTTCAGTGCATGTTTTACACTGCGCAGATCTAGTGCCCAATGATCAAACTGGTTTTTGAAATAAGTACATGATTTCTGTAGGATATGGGTTGACATTTTTCTCAGTGAAAACTATGGAGCTAGCGCTTGCAACAAGACAATAAGCACGGCTCTGTCTAAAGTTCAAAAATGCCCCTACCACCATCATTAAAGATTAATGTTAAAGATATAAATTTGTGATAAATAAGACAATGTTCCTAGTTGTTATCACATTTTTTGTGATGTATTCAAGCAACAAAATATGCATTGACTTGTTTAAAATGTGTTTTAGTTGTCCCACTTTATCAAACATGATTGATAAGATGGGACAGCATGCTTTGGACAATCTGGGACAGTCATTTAATTTTCTAAACGGGGGAAATATGCTTTTAAGATTCATATGATAAAACAAATGTAAAATATGTACAATAGAGAATCTGTGCAATAGAAAAATGAGAAAATCAGGTTCCACCGAGACTTGAACTCGGATTACTGGATTCAAAGTCCAGAGTGCTAACCATTACACCATGGAACCACAACATGTTGA